TTACAACATGTCATAGAGACAGTTTCGGTTTGTGATTCCATGGCAAAGTCCATCTATAAACATCCCCACATCTTGAAATATACGAGTCAGATGTTACAAAGACTTAGAGCTCTGATAAAAGTTGTGTTTGTAACACGCAGAGACGGTCTCGCTTCATGCAGGTCGGCGTTCAATCCCCGACCGTCCAGGTGGTTGGGCACCATTCCTTTCCTCCGTCCCATCCCATATCCTTATCCTGACCGCTTCCCAGTGCTATAGTCTGTAATGGCTTGGTGCTTTACCCCCTCTGATAGTTCCCTTCCCTTTCCTTCTCTGATAAAAGCTACCAAACACACACCATCAACCAATCATCAATCAACCATCAACCAGGTACCACCAACCTCCGTCCTCTCAAATAATGCATCATATTTTGACGTTGTCATGGTCGTCAACGTCAAAATATGATGTACTATAAATGATAGCGGCTCGCACAATTGACGCGCTGTTCCGTTTTCTATTCGTGGGTTTATCGAGTATTAGGTTCGGGGTAGTTAGTACAGCAGTTTTTGTGACGTGATGACCCGGGGGGGGGGGGGGGGACGGGCTGTGCGAAAAAAAAATCCAGTTGGTTGATTGACAGTTGAGAGATGGGCACAAAGAGCCAGAGCTCAACCCCCACACACTCAACTAGGTGAGTACACACACACACACACACACACACACACACACACACACACACACACACACACACACACACACACACACACACATCTAGGGGTTACCCTAGATGAAAGACTATCAGATATAGAGGTGACAGCAGAGGAGGTAATGAAACAGTTGACAACTCTAGATGCAACTAAAGCAGTTGGACCAGACAAAGTATCACCGTGGATACTAAAAGAAGCAGCACAGGCCCTCAGCGTGCCTCTGGCAATGATCTTTAATGAGTCACTTATGTCAGGAGAATTGCCCAGTTGCTGGAAGAAGGCAAATGTCGTGCCGATCTTCAAGAAAGGAGATAGAGAGGAGGCACTTAACTACAGACCTGTATCACTGACAAGCATCCCCTGTAAAATACTGGAAAGAATAATTAGGCTACGACTGGTTGCACACCTGGAGAACATTAGGTTTGTGAACAAACATCAACATGGGTTCTGGACAGGGAAATCGTGCCTAACAAACCTTCTGGAATTCTATGATAAAATAACGAGGATAAGACAGGACAGAGATGGTTGGGCAGACTGCATATTTCTGGACTGCCAAAAAGCCTTTGATACAGTACCGCACATGAGACTGCTGTTCAAGCTCGAGAGGCAGGCGGGGGTGGGGGGAAAGGTCCTAGAATGGATAAGGAACTACCTAACAGGAAGGAGCCAAAGAGTTACGGTAAGGGGCGAGAAGTCGGACTGGCGAACAGTAACAAGTGGAGTACCACAAGGATCGGTGCTGGGACCAATTCTATTTCTTGTATATGTTAACGACATGTTTACAGGCGTAGAGTCCTACATGTCGATGTTTGCGGATGATGCAAAGTTGATGAGAAGAGTTGTGACAGATGAGGATTGCAGGATCCTCCAAGAGGACCTGAACAGATTGCAGAGATGGTCAGAGAAATGGCTACTAGAATTCAACACGAGCAAATGTAAAGTTATGGAAATGGGACTAGGAGATAGGAGACCAAAGGGACAGTACACAATGAAGGGGAACAGCCTACCTGTAACGACGCGTGAAAGAGACCTGGGGGTGGACGTAACACCTAATCTATCTCCTGAGGCACATATTAATAGGATAACGACAGCAGCGTACTCTACACTGGCAAAAGTTAGAACATCATTCAGAAACCTAAGTAAGGAGGCATTTAGGGCGCTTTACACTGCCTACGTAAGGCCAGTCTTAGAGTATGCCGCCTCATCATGGAGTCCCCATCTGAAGAAGCATATAATGAAACTGGAAAAGGTTCAGAGGTTTGCAACGAGACTCGTCCCAGAGCTACGAGGGATGGGGTATGAAGAGCGCCTGAGGGAACTGTGCCTTACGACACTAGAAAGAAGAAGGGAGAGGGGGGACATGATAGGAACGTATAAGATACTCAGAGGAATTGACAGAGTGGACATAGACGAAATGTTCACACGGAATAGTAACAGAACGAGAGGACATGGATGGAAGCTTGAAACTCAGATGAGTCACAGAGATGTAAGGAAGTTTTCTTTTAGCGTGAGAGTAGTGGGGAAATGGAATGCACTTCAGGAACAGGTTGTGGAAGCAAATACTATTCATAATTTTAAAACCAGGTATGATAGGGAAATGGGACAGGAGTCATTGCTGTAAACAACCGATGCTCGAAAGGCGGGATCCAAGAGTCAATGCTCGATCCTGCAAGCACATATAGGTGAGTACACACACACAGGTCCTGCCTGTGCCTGGTCCTGTGCCTGTGCCCAGGTCCTGTCTGGCAGGTCCTGCCTCACAGGGTTACTTGAATTCTACGACCAGGCAACAAAAATAAGGCAAGAAGGAGAAGGGTGGGCAGACTGCATATTTTTGGATTGTCAGAAAGCATTTGATACAGTGCCACACAAGAGGCTAGTGCGAAAGTTGGAGATGTGTGTGTGTGTGTGGCCTGGTGGATAGCGCGCAGGATTCGTAATTCTGTGGCGCGGGTTCGATTCCCGCACGAGGCAGAAACAAATGGGCAAAGTTTCTTTCACCCTGAATGCCCCTGTTACCTAGCAGTAAATAGGTACCTGGGAGTTAGTCAGCTGTCACGGGCTGCTTCCTGGGGTGTGTCTGTGGTGTGGAAAAAAAAAAAAAGTAGTTAGTAAACAGTTGATTGAGAGGCGGGCCGAAAGAGCAAAGCTCAACCCTCGTAAAAAACACAACTAGTAAACACACACACACACACACACACACGCGCGCAGACATGCATTCATCATACATTCTGCATTAGGAAGTGATGTGGTGGAGGCTGACTCCATACACCGTTTGAAATGTAGATATGATAGAGCCCAGTAGGCTCAGGAATCTGTACACCAGTTGATTGACAGTTGAGAGGCGAGACCAGAGAGCCAAAGCTCAACCCCCGCAAGCATAAATAGGTGAGTAACCTCTTCATCTGCGTCTCACCCCCCCCCCCCCTCCTTTCATCTGCATCATTTCCCCCTGTTGTTGTTATAGATTCAGCTACTCTGAATAAGTTGCAAGTAGCACGGGCTATGGTGAGCCCGTAGTGAACTCACCTGGCACAGGAGCGGTCCCATTTCCCATTTTCCTCCCCCTCTCATAAACCCTTCACCACGCCACTCCCTCCATCACCACAACAATCAGCCCGTTACACTCTCATAGGAACTAATGACAACAATCGGAGGTGAATCACCGCCCCCACACTGTTGACACTAACGTACAACCACCAATCATGTTGTGACACGGCAAGTTGTGTGTGTGTATTCACCTAGTTGTATTCACCTAGTTGTGTTTGCGGGGGTTGAGCTTTGCTCTTTCGGCCCGCCTCTCAACTGTCAATCAACTGTTTACTAACTACTATTTTTTTTCACACCACACACACATACACACGGTAAGGGGGGAGGGGGAAGATGAGGGAAGGAGGGTGAAGATAAAGGGATAGAATGGTGAAGATGAGGGGGTGGCAGCATCCTCAGTGTCTTGTGCGGCAGTGAATATGAGCAGCAGGGAGCCGGTCGGCCGAGCGGACAGCACACTGGACTTGTGATCCTGTGGTCCTGGGTTCGATCCTAGGCGCCGGCGAGAAACAATGGGCAAAGTTTCTTTCACCCTATGCCCCTGTTACCTAGCAGTAAATAGGTACCTGGGTGTTAGTCAGCTGTCTCGGGTTGCTTCCTGGGGGTGGAGGCCTGGTCGAGGACTGGGCCGCGGGGACACTAAAGCCCCGAAATCATCTCAAGATAACCTCAAGATAGCATGAACGGAAATGAACAAAAATGTTATCATGTATAATATAATGGAGATCTTTATCATTCCATAAGAAAATTGTATATAAATTTAGTTTCACACTTTCATATTATATCGTTTTCACACAAAGTGTATACTTGAAACAATCCACCTATCCCACGACTGTTATTCAGTAATTTGTTCTCGAAATCACCAGCCCTTTTGCCAAACCAGTATTTACCCATGTCTTTCTCTGAATGTGAACTTGCCCATTTTTGTATCCATTGTTTCGTAGTGTGTTTTGTGTTGCGATATTTGAACACTTTTATCACACACTCCAGATAATTACTTTACCATTTTTGTCCTCCTACATACGGGGTTATCTTGAGGTTATCTTGAGATGATTTCGGGGCTTTTTAGTGTCCTTGTAAATTAAACATTTGTAAAATCTCTCTCTTTATAAAGGAGTATTCTAATTGCTAGGATTAACAACATACATTAACCTTAACCATACAGCGTTTGGGATTCTTTCGGACGTAGGTTCGAACCCTCGCCACGGCCCTTGTGGATTTGTTCATAGGATTAACTTTGTCATTCTTCTCTGTAAGCTTTTGTTATAGATTTAGCTACTCGGAACAAGTTGCAAGTAGCACGGGCTATGGAGAGCCCGTAGTGGACTTATCTGGCACAGCAGCAGTGGTCTCTCTCTGTAAGCGTTCAAGTGTGTTTATGTGCGTTCTGTAGTACGGTGGCCAAAGGTGACCTGCGGTGGCCAAAGGTGACCTGCGTAATAATAATTTTAATTGTGCAGTCAGTTTTGGTCAGGTGCCACGTGAGGCCTAACATGGACAAGATAAAGGGGTTTAAGGGTAGTATTTAAAAAGTTTTATATACAATCTAAATTGTCTTCTATCAGTCTTGAGTATTCCTTTTTGTTTTCTCATGTGTGGCTGCGGACACGAAGGACTTGCTCACTGCAGTAAGACCTGTCTTACTGCAGTGAATCAAGTGTCAATTAATCTGCAGTGTCTGAAGGACTCAGACTAGGCCACCGTATCGGAAATGTCCTCGATGAAGGTGTTACCAATAGCTTTGTTCTCTCTCTCCGTGGTCAGGTTGGTGAAGATTAAGGAGTGGATCGACGCCAACGACCCCGGCGCCATCCTCATTCCGTTCTCCGGGGCCCTGGAACTGCGACTGGCGGACATGGAACCGGAGGCGAAGGCCCAGTACATCAAGGACAGCGGCATTTCCAGGTACGTGTGTGTATGTGTGTGTGTGTCCTAATTAATTTGGCTTTCTTTGTTGGTGTGCAAGATGCCAGTGTTGTACCCTATAGCTTTACTGCCCCCTGTATGTTGTCCACCAGGGTTCCTTTCACAGGTATGTAAGTCTTTTGCAGTCAGATTTCTAGCGTGAGTCCCAGCTCCTTATAACAACGTCAGTGGGCGGCCAATCTTGGTTCTACGAAGTAGGGCGTGGAGGGGAGGGAAGAGAAGGTTGCCCTAACGCTCTTAGATGCTTATCTAAGAGCATCTAAGAGTTCGAAGGAACTGGACCTTCTAACACACAACGTTAAGATAGCGCCTTGTCAAGGGACTGATCCCGGGGCGCCGGAGGACATGTAGTCCGAGGGAAGACTAAAGAAGAAGTGAAAGAACGGGATGCTAAATCACTCGGACTATTGGGCATCGTCAAGGTCAGGGGCGGCAACAGCTGGATCCTCAGCCCTTGTCAGCCCGGGCAGGTGAACACAGCCGCACGCTGGGGACAGCATAAACAGTGTGACGAGTGAGGCTCTTAACACAGCGTGTCCTGAAGGCTGAGCCTGTCTTTAACCACCTGATTAATATTGTGTTTTGAGGCGTGGTGGAGGGAGGGGTTGTGTTGTGGAGACCCAGAGGGTGGGGGGGGGGGGGGGTAGGGGTTGTGTTGTGGAGACCCAGGGGTGGGGGGTAGTGGTTGTGTTGTGTTGTGGAGACCCAGAGGGTGGGGGGGGGTAGTGGTTGTGTTGTGTTGTGGAGACCCAGAGGGTGGGGGGGGGGGTAGGGGTAGGGGTAGGGGTTGTGTTGTGGAGACCCAGAGGGTGGGGGGGGGTAGGGGTAGGGGGTTAGTGGTGTGTTGTGTTGTGGAGACCCAGAGGGTGGGGGGGGTAGGGGTTGTGTTGTGGAGACCCAGAGGGTGGGGGGGGGTAGGGGTTGTTGTGTTGTGGAGACCCAGAGGGTGGGGGGGGTAGGGTTGTGTTGTGTTGTGGAGACCCAGAGGGTGGGGGGGGGTAGGGGTTGTGGTTGTGTTGTGTTGTGGAGACCCAGAGGGTGGGGGGGGTAGGGGTAGGAGGGTTGTTGTGTTGTGGAGACCCAGAGGGTTGTGTTGTTGTGGAGACCCAGAGGGTAGGGGGGTAGGGAGGGTGGGGGGGTAGGGGGTTGTGTTGTGTTGTGTTGTGGAGACCCAGAGGGTGGGGGGGGGTAGGGGTTGGGGGGTGTTGTGTTGTGGAGACCCAGAGGGTGGGGGGTAGGGGTTGTGTTGTGGAGACCCAGAGGGTGGGGGGTAGGGTTGTGTTGTGGAGACCCAGAGGGTGGGGGGTAGGGGTTGTGTTGTGGAGACCCAGAGGGTGGGGGGTAGGGGTTGTGTTGTGGAGACCCAGAGGGTGGGGGGTAGGGGTTGTGGTGTGTTGTGGAGACCCAGAGGGTGGCGGGTAGGGGTTGTGTTGTGTTGTGGAGACCCAGAGGGTGGGGGGTAGGGGTTGTGTTGTGGAGACCCAGAGGGTGGGGGGTAGGGGTTGTGTTGTGGAGACCCATAGGGTGGGGGGTAGGGGTTGTGTTGTGGAGACCCAGAGGGTGGGGGAGTTACTGTGGGAGTAGAGGAAGGTGGGGTACAGTGGTGGTGGAGACCCTGTACCATGACCAGGGACAATAAGAGGTGGATTTACAGAGGGAGAGTGGTACATTAGCCGTGATTATCGTGGTCGTAACTCTGCAGGAGGGGATTGGCGTCTCCAGCATGGCCGGCGTCACCCGCCACCACCTCCTCCCCACGCTCAGGATCCACCACCACCACCACCTCCCCACGCTCGGGATCCACCACCACCTCCCCACGCTCGGGATCCACCACACCATACCTCACCCTGTTTTTTTCTTGTTGGTGTCCTGGCCCGCTATGCCAGGTACTGCTCCACCCACCCTACGCACTCTAGCTACTCCACTCTTGCCATAAATGCCTACTCCGCCTTAGCAAAAATACTTCTCAATATAAATAAATAACAGTAGTTCTCTACTGTTTGTCTACATGTTCCTTGTATGTTTCTGTTTTCTTCTTCTGTTTTCTTTCTCTTCTTCTTCCCTGTTGTCGTCGTTCTCCACCTCCGTCTTTTGTATCCTCTGGTGCCGCTGCCTCTTCATCCTCCTGCTGTAGTCTAGGAAGTATCGCATGCACCGTGTTTCCCCTACTTCCTCCTGCTGTAGTCTAGGATGTATGGCATGCCCCGTGTCGTCTCCCTTACTTCCTCCTGTTGTAGTCTAGGAAGTATCGCATGCCCCGTGTTTCCCTTACTTCCTCCTGTTGTAGTCTAGGAAGTATCGCATGCCCCGTGTTTCCCTTACTTCCTCCTGTTGTAGTCTAGGATGTATGACATGCCCCGTGTCGTCTCCCTTACTTCCTCCTGCTGTAGTCTAGGAAGTATCGCATGCCCCGTGTTTCCCCTACTTCCTCCTGTTGTAGTCTAGGAAGTATCGCATGCCCCGTAACTCGGGACTGAGTTTTTATGGGTATCGTAGCAGGGGACCGCGGGGCATTTTTGCGAATCAGTTTCGCAAAAACTTACGAACCTGTACATGTTTTCACAATCTTTGACGGCTTTGTTTACAATTATTAAACAGTTAATGAGCTCCGAAGCACCAGGAGACTGTTTATAACAATAACAACAGTTGATTGGCAAGTTTTCATGCTTGTAAACTGTTTAATAAATGTAACCGTCATAGATTGAGGAAAGATGTACACTTTCGTAAGTGCTTGCGTAACTGCTACGTGAATCTGGTCCCAGGTGTGGGTTCCTGCTGCCGTGTTTGTCTCCTTGCTACACACCTGGTTTATTCCCCCTCTTTTCCCCACCTTCCCCCTCCCCACCTTCCCCCTCCCCACCTTCCCCCTCCCCCTCCCCACCTTCCCCCCCACCTTCCCCCTCCCCCCTCCCCACCTTCCCCACCTCCCCCCTCCCCATCTCTAATAACACCACAACCTTATTTCTACGACTTCGGCCACTCGCCCCCTGCTCGGAGGACACATGTCCCGTCCGTCGATAGGGGCTGTCATTCCCCGCTGGAGGGACGGGGTTGACGGCCGTAGCGACCCGCCGCGGTGGTGGGTTGGAGTGATACAGCTCTTATTGGGGCCTCAGTGATACGGTCTTTTGTCAGTAGGGGCATGACGAGGATTGGCGGCTGCCGCCCAGGATAATTTCCGTACTAAACCCTTGGGAGCTTCCCGGACAGGTTATTACAGTGCTATATTGGGGCTGGTTTGGGGAGGGGGGAGTGGGGGTCATTCACCTCCCTTACCTTCCCTTATTGGTGGGGGGGGGGAGTGGGTAGGTTACCTAACTTATAGGTGGGGAGTGGGGAGTTTACCTTAATTACCTTGTATGTGGGGGATAGGGTAGGTTGCCTCCCTTACCTTACAGGAAAGAAGTGAGTCTGTCACCACCCTTACTGTAAACAGGTAGACACAGTCCCCTACTCCCCACCTATCAGGTAAAGGAGGTAACCCACCCACTCCCCGCCTGTATGGGAGGTAACCCACCCACTTACCCCCACCTATAAGGTAAGGGGTGGGGAAGTAACCAACCCCACACACAAAAACCACTTGGCTGTACAAGGTGGCCGGGAGATGTAAGGGAGCCCCCCTCTCTTACCAGACTCCAATACATATACTTATTTATATTTATTGCAATAGAGTAAGAATGAGCCAATTCCTGGAGTCGAGCAAGCTACCGTATCATTTCCCGGCGGCTACGACATATGTTTCACCTCAACCACCAAACAAATAATACATTTTATTTATATTCACAAGATCTAAGGTTTTAACTTCCAATAAATGTTGGTTGAAATGCACCAAGATTGATTTCTCTCACCAACAATTTAGGGGCGTCCGATCCGCCAGCACTGGACTTTCTTCCAGAGGTTAATAGTGAAATTAGAGAGCTGCGACTGGAGTCATGGGAGTCATGTAGAAGTCATCTTCTGGTTCTGTTGAGGAAGCATTGGTTATACTTTGTGGATGGAGGGTTGTGGATGCGTGGGCTTGTGAGGTTCATGGAGTGTTCTCTGGTTGTGGCCTATGACGCCTCTACTCAAGTTCAGGTATGTTTATTGAGGCAAGACAGAAATACATCTCAAAGGGATAGAGTAGCTTAGGCTATTTCTACCCCCCCCCCCCTAAAGACGCCTCTACTCTTTGCCAGGTTTGTATGGCGCGCGCGCGCGCGCGCTCTCTCTCTCTCTCTCTCTCTCTCTCTCTCTCTCTCTCTCTCTCTCTCTCTCTCTCTCTCTCTCTCTCTCTCTGTCTCTCTCTCTCTGTCTCTCTCTCTCTGTCTCTCTCTCTCTCTCTCTCTCTCTCTCTCTCTCTGTCTCTCTCTCTCTCTGTCTCTCTCTCTCTCTCTCTCTCTCTCTCTCTCTCTCTCTCTCTCTCTCTCTCTCTCTCTCTCTCTCTCTCTCTCTCTCTCTCTCTCTCTCTCTCTCTCTCTTTTTTTCCTTTCTTTCTTTCTTTCTTTCTTTCTTTCTTTCTTTCTTTCTTTCTTTCTTTCTTTCGTTTTTTCCTCCAGTATGTTGCACATGTCTGTGATGCAGATATGTGTTGTTGTTCCCACAGTTTTGGGACATTGCACTTAACAATATTCCATTTCATCTGCCACTTTTTCTGTCCAGTTCTTCGCCGTGATGCGAGGTCTTTCTGGCGTTCCCTCAAACTCCTTATGCCAGCTTATTATCCACCCCACTTCTACCATCCCCCGGAAACTTGTTAAAGTAAGTCTCCCTCCAGAGATTTAGGTGGGTTCCAGGGACAACAAAGGCCCCAGTGCAGACACCTGGGGCACACCACTGTTGACGTGTCTCGGCTCCAACTTCCACCGTTTTGAGGGTAAAGCCTCAGCCATCTCAGCCTCCTGGCCTCCAGCCACGCAGGGGTCTGATCCAGGTGAGGTGGCCAGGGTGGGGCATTTTTTTGGTGGCGCTGGCAGCGGTGGAGAGTCTTCAGGTGAAGC